AGAGCATCTTTTAGTTTCTCTCTGAAGTTTCTATCATTTAAAAATACATCAGGTGTTACTAAAGCCATATAAATAGGAGTGAATCTTAGTTTCATGGACAGTAGAGACCTATATTTTCCACTGATAAGGAATAAAACCAAGATTTTATTCTCACCACAGCAAATGAATCCTGTGTAAACCCAAAATATAGAGATTGTACACTCAGCTAAAACAAATGCATCTTGTTCCATATTACATGCATGAGGTGATGTAGATTTCCACTAACCCAAGAATCCAACTTCCTGTGTGTTCGGGGGCAATGTCTCTGTAGTCCACAAGCCCCATAAAATCTAACCCAACTTTTCCTGGCCCAGGTTCACATGCTGTGAAACAGAAAGCCTGTTATTGGGAGCTGGAGTAGGTCACAGCACCAAGCTGTGCTGTAAGAAAAGGTCACTCAGAGGGCTGGGGACTGAGGGCAGTTCAGGTTAACAAGTGAGAAGAGCAAGATGGGAATGGGGCACAGCCAGTGTTCACAGTGAACTAGTTCACATCAACTCTGTGACAAAGTTTCCAGGGAGCGACAATTTCACCCTCAAGCTGCTTCTCATTGCAGGAAGTTTTGAGAAGGGATTCTGTGTCCATTATTCAGAGGAAATTCTCCTAAAAGTGGTGCTGTAGACAGAGATGACTTTTTTTTTCATCTGTTTTGGTGTGTCTGGGTCATTTGTATCTGACTACTTGTGTCCAGAATCTTTAAACCTGAACTGCATTTATTTTACACAACCATAAGCAAGTAGTGCATGTTTCCTTCTCCCTTTTTGAAGTTAGGAATCTATACGTGCCCTTGGCTTGTTGTTTTGTTTTTTTCTGCTTGTCATATGGAGAACCGGAAACACTCCAGAGGTTGCCCATGTGTCAGAAAAATATCATTTTTTAGTTAAATTCCACCACTGCTATCAAGAGAGTAGACATTTCCATTCTAGCTGCAGCCGGGAGTCAGTTTTCTTTTGCATGCTCTAATGTGCTTCAGACCAGCCAAGGGTTTTTTTGTTGTTTTTTTTGGCAGGGTTGGATGTTGGCTTATTGGTTATGAGAGCCTGTACAATCATTGCAGTGGAAATAAAAAGCCCTGACACTAGAGCAGTAGAAATAACAATGTTGGTTTCTTCCCACTAAGTGGAAATAACATGCTTTGTTCCACCAATTTGAGGTACAGAATACCTGACATGAGATGGTGTACAACATTTTGTGGTTTTTTTCTGGGAAAATGTCTCAGCATCAGTGCACCATGCCAGAGCAAAACTGCACCAAAAATGGTCAGGTACAAAGTCGGTGATAATAGGCCAGATTCTCAGAGTTGAGGTAAGTGGGAAGCATGAGGCTACAGGATTTCTATTAACTGATAATATTCATTATAACATATGTTTCACTGGCCAGCTGAAAGTTGTTCTTGAGTATTGGGACCTAATACCCATGTATGAAAGTCTTCTAAAAGGCTGTCTCTAAATTCCAATAAATAAATATATAATGAGTGACAGGCACTTGCAATAACTGATCACATATAACTGACAGGGAGAAATGGTGAGCCAGGGTTAATAAATCATGCAGCTTGCTGAACTCAATAGCATCATATATTTTTAAGGTAAGCCGCCATAGATTTTGAATAAAAACGGAATTGCTCACAAAAAGGCATACTTTTGCCTGTTCTTTATCTCCCTACATTAAGACAATAAAAAGCCAGTAAGTTGCCAGATTCACCTATTTCTTCCACTGGCCACTTTGTAATGCTGCATGGTCACTGATAGATTGAAAAGGAACCAAATCTTTCTAGTAACCACTTTTAACGTCATTGTTAGTATATAATCTATCTTAAAGGACTTAAAAATATCTGTTTAAATGTAATCTTCAGTTTTAGAGGGACTCTAGATGTGCATTTATATTACAGTTTCAAAATCTCTTGGTAAAGTTTAACACAAACACAAGGAACTACAAATGTCTGCTTCAGTGGACAGTGAATCAGGACTAACCTACTGTGGGAAAGGCTGAACGGGCAGAAAGTGTAGTTTTCAAATACATGAATCAGAAGTTTCCATAAGGAAATTTGAAAACACAATTATGAAAAAAATAAAGGACACATAAATCCTTCTTTTTAAGGTTTCTCCATTCCCTTTTCTCCACAAATATTTTTATAGTCTCACTTAGGGCAATTCCTACAAAGTTGTTGTCCAAGACTTCTTTAACTTTCCTTCACATTTGTCATCAATTTATAGTGAAAACAAGTGTCACTCATCATAACTGAATATGCACAGGGGTCAACAGTACCTTCCTTCAGACACTGAGACTTCATCCCACCTTTGTGAGCACAGTTGGGGCTGTACAATGGAAGGGGATCAGCGTTGCTACTTGACTGCCTCTGTCTCGCGTGACTGAGAACATGAGCAGGGTGCTGGGCTGTGCTGGTGAAGCCAAGGGGAGCACCTTTAAAACTCCCTGGTCATTGGACTGGTCGCCTGTTAATGGCATGGTAACAGCAAATGTAAAATCAGTTGCCTTTATATAACACCCTCCATTTGTCAGCTCACGAGACAGACGTCTCCACTTTTCTGCATTGGTTAAGCTGGAGTATAAGTAACTGACTTTCTAAAGATTATCGATAGAGTCTGTATTAATTAAATAACAGAAGGTGAACTAGGCAGGCAGAAGTGGTCCAGGGACTGGGGCATGAGCCCAGCATGAGAAAGACTCACGCTCTTCTGATACATCTTCCCTGTGTAGCCTTAAACAAGTCACTTACTTACCCTGTTGTGTCCTGTTTGACGAGACTGGACAACTAGCCCTTCCTTGTTTCATGAGGAAGCTTGATGTAAGGACAAATATATCAATGATAAGAGAACACAGTCTGTGTAATGGAGTGATGTACCTGTCTTACAGTACAATTACAGTTACGAGCTTTTTTTGAAATTTGGTCTGATTCCTTTCACCTTCCTTGAAATATACTTTTTTCTGTCCCAATGTAATTCTATTGAATCTTCATAAAAATCTGATCAGAGTATTTGTCTGAAATTTTTCCCAGCACTGGCCTGAAGTAAAAGACATTCAAGGGGAAGATGAAGCTATATATGGATGCTTTTTTAACTGTTACAGCTCCTGGATCAGATCAGAACTACAGGGTAATTAGATTACAGTTATTGTAAATTTCCTAAATGACACCAGCTGACAATCCCATCTTCTAAAATCAGTCACTTTTTAAAAGGACTGTGATACCTACAAGGTTTTTGCTGCCTGTTTGTTACAAGATGTAATGAGAAAATAGAAAGAGCTTTAACAGTGAACTTCTGGGCTTTTCTGAATTTCAGTTTACTCTCACCGTAATACAGTTTTTTATGTCACAACTAGACGGCAGATAGAAAGGCTGACTGTGTCGAGGGAATTTGGTGTTTTACATTTAGAAGGAACATTTAATGAATTATGCTGCCCCCAGATAACCCCTATTTCATTTGTATATAATGCTCAGGGCTAAGGATTGTCTTTCTGATCCTTCTCAGATGTTAGGCAGTACAATTCGAGAGTGGTCAAATTACTGCTCCCATCCTTACTTCAGTCCTGCAAGTGCTGAGTGCTTTAACTCCCACTGAGGACATAAAATGGCTTTAATACAACAATAATCTTAGATTTATCAAAGGCATGAAGTTCAGAGTGAAATCAAATGCCTAACTTTTTTTCTCTGTGTGGCTATTATGTAAACATGACGTTTTAATACTCTATTATTTAGTGCTTTTTATATTATTACCTAATTGCTAGATTCCATTTTTTATGAAAAGTACTCTAAAATATTATGTTGCTTATAAATATTCTCTTCCCTTAATCTCTGCAGGTATTACTGACACTCAGCTGCCACTAACTGGGCTTGTTGGTTTGCGATTCCACATCTTCAGGAGGGAAGGTACAGGTATTTAAGTTGATGTAAACAAAGAGGAATACATCAAATGGCATATTGATAAACGAAATAGTATTGGTCTTAGGAAAAACTATTTTATTACTTAACAGCCTGTCAGTAAAAAACCTGAAAAACTAATCAGACATCAGGCTTCAGGGTGCAAGTTTGTTGTCTGTCAGGGTCAGCAAAAAGATTTCTCCCCCTCCCCTCTGTCAAGACACTGGTATAATTGGCTCCACGCCTTAAGGAAAGTAATGCCTTTCCCTATGGCATGAGGCAATTGTCAGTAGCCTCTGGAAACTGGGCTTTACCTCCAACACGCTACACGTCATACGTCCCTATTGCGTGTTTGCTTTCATTTTGTTTGGTTTTAAAATATGTAAATTATTTGTAGCCTATAAACACATGTGCATACTTGTATGTATGAGAGGTATCAGACCAGGCGAAAAGTTTCTGCCTTTCATCTGTGAGGTTAAGCAAGTGGGTGGAAGCCAGTATGACTTAGGTGTGGCTGAGGAGACTGATCAGCTGCACTTGCAAAGCCCTCCAAGTGACTGGACCCTTGCCACAACTGTACAGTTTAACCAGTACAAGCAGTGTCCAGCTGCAGCTACACATCTCTGTAAAATTAGGTTGTGAAAAATGAACTGAATTAATTTCGTTTTCATTTTCATGGCTAGGCTTCTCGAAGGGGCCGTCCCCGAACTGAATTCACTCTGAAAATAATTTCCTTTTTTTCATACAAAATGCAGACAGTCTTCTGTAATACTTCTGAAGTGTCGTCCAAGGACTGCATTTGGTCTCTGATTTCTATCCCACCCAGATGTACAGATAGAGCAGCATCCTATGGAACAATGATGTGCTCAAACACTGTCAGCCTGAGCCTTGAATAGGAAAAATTGGTATAGCTTCAGTGAATACAGTATATATCACCAGAAACAATGGAACTGGGCTAATTTAATTACCTCAGGACCTGCCCTGTGTTTCCTCAAAGAGCTCTAAGTACTTCTTCTGTTCTGTTTTAGCATTGTTTTGCTATCATATGAATGAACACTAGAAGAGAAGAAGAATCAGTGACTGCAGAAGGCTTACCCCAAGTGTTCTCAATTGAACCGGTGGCAAAATTCTCCTTGTCAAGCGTGGAAGTCCATCTGGGTCTAGAATGGTGTGTTTTCATGGGATTTCCTTCTTCCTGGGATTCTGTACAAATTTTGTACAAAACTTTACAGTTGATATGGTGATTTTAATAAGAACATTCAAGTCCAAGTATTGCAATAGGGAAGGAATGTTTTTGAGTGGTACTGATGATTTTCTTCCACTTGTTTTCCACTTGCATTCCCTCTTCGGTAGACTCACAAAATAAGAGCTTTTTGACCAGCAGTACTTGTTGTCTCTCCAGGGCAGAGAGCATAGGACAGAACCAATATGTGCTCCATTGCCTGTACGGAGTCCAGATGTTATAAAATGCAGCAGAAGCAAGACAAGCTGTGGAATAGAAATCCAGAGTTACTTTCTTCCCCAAGGACTCTCATACACTTGTTTCTCAAACAAACACCAACCTGATGTGTTGGAACTGAGCTTTTGGCATCAATAGGAGCAGAGGATGGAAAACAACTCTGCCAAGGCCAGCAGAGTTGGGTGCCTCGATTACAGCAAAGTCCTTGTGCATGCAGAATGGCAAAAACCTTCTCTTCATGCAATCATGCATGAAAGAACCTGAGGGAAGCTGCAGATCTTCAGGTTTCTCCTCTTTGCTATTAATATTGACCCAGATGCCTTTCAAGGTAGGAATTCATGGTGTCCATAAAACAATTTGTGTTAGGGCAAGGTATTTTTTTGACAAAAAGAAATCTGTGGGAAAATATCTGCCTGAAGTTCTTGAAGCCTTCCATCTTGACCAAACTTAGCCAAGTGCTGATGAAACTTTGTCAGGAAAGTTTCAATGATGGTGAGGTTGCTACAGCAGACAACCATAGTATTTTTTGCAGGGTATGTTGTTGGATTCAACCTCGTAAATTGTTCCTGCTAGCGGATATATTCATTTACACACAAAGATTTGGATACAGAGAAAAAAAATATGTTACAGCCAGATAGATCACAGAATTACAGAATATTCTGAGTTGGAAGGGACCCAGAAGGGTCATCAAGTCCAGCTCTTAAGTGAATGGCCCATATAGGGATCAAATCTGCAACCTCAATGTCATTAGCGCCATGCTCCAACCGAGCTAAATCACATGGGATATAGAGCAATCCTTTCTGTGTATAGCCCATTTATCCCAAAATGGTTTTGCCAATGACCAGAAGAAAAGCTTTGTTTGGAAGTATGAAGTGGTATTCACAATACTTACCATTCATCTGTGGAGCTTTCTGATGAGTAGTAAAGACTGATTTTTTCAAGCCCATGAACTAAGATGTTTGTGAGCCCAGTCTACAGTAGCTTGACACATACCTGTTTTCTGAATGCTTTTAAGATAGCTTAATTCCTTCAGAAATGCAAAGCAATTAAAGATATTTTGTTAGCTCTGTTGTGTGTTTGACAAATCATTACAAACTGACAACATGATCTTCAAGTTGCATAGATAATCTTTAAGACTGCGTCTGAGCCTCTTTGATCTCCTTACCTAAATGCTGCATCTTTGTGGAAAGATGATGCAGCCCAATCCTAAGGCCTCAAAGGGATATGCATTAAGACTTGTAGACCCACATAAAAATAAAAAAAAAAAATCTCAAGAGGAAAAGAGCTTTGCAGTGCATAAACTAGGCATGTGAGGAAATGCTCAGCAGGATCTGAAAGGGTTTTGATCTCCCATATAGGAATAATGACAGCTCCATTGTAGTAGTCCACCCTTATTCAGGCAAACTTCTTCTCTGTTTAATGTCATCCAGAATACGAGGACTGATGAATTCTAGTGAAATAATGAAACAATATGGTGTTGTTCTGTCTGAGAAGGAACAGGTTTACTATGTCTTTGAATAACTGAAACTTGCAGGTTTTTGGTTGCCATGCCCAAGAATTTAGAGCAAGACCATACATACACAGCTATGTAATCTGAGAACATGCAAGCCACTAGTTATTCTGCCCTGATTCTCCACGTAGATGCTTTTAATAATGAAATACATGATATTTTATTCCAATCCATTCACAAATAGTTCCTTTTAAAACTTTTATGTCATTATGGCACCTGCCCTATGCCTTTGACAGCAGTTTTCTTCCCTTAACTGGGGCAGCAAACCAAATCACGGTTCAGTTCTTCAGCCTTCATCAAACACCAGCTCAGCTCATTAACGCAAATCAATCTTCATGGCTAATTTCAACTAACACAGCAGGCTGTCAAGGAGGATGGTGGAAGGGTGGCCATGCTCTTCTATCTCTGCTCAAATAGGGGCCATAGTCTCCAGCAAAAGGACAAAGCAGATACCCAGGGAGGTGACCCCTTAAACTACCCCAGTGAGCACTGGAGCCACCTGATGGCAGAGGCCATCTGAGCAGACCCTGAGGGCTCACCACTCTCCCTGTGAAGAATGAGCGCAGACAGCTACTGTACTATCAGTTTTCATCCTACCTTACCCCATGCTGATTTCCCCATACAAACAGGCCTTTGGTTGCCCTTTAGGGTCTGCTTGCTCCAAGGATATTTGTTGGTCAACTTTAAAACTGCGAGGAGTAAGAATTGGCATGAAAGATGCCCCTGTTATTTACAGAGACTGCTTCTGGACCCTGACCATATTACAAAGCTAAACAGAAAATCTTGCAGGCATCTGGGAACCAAAATTTTTTGGGTCAAGCCGATTTGTGTTCACTGCAACCTACTTATGATATATTTAATTAGTCCATACTTCAGGGCTGCTGTCAATCAATTTCCTCTGTCGATTGGCCACAGATGGAGCTGCGGTGCTGGGGGAGGTGGTAGATATTCTTGGCACTGTGGAGGAAGATCAGCATGTCTTTTTCACACTCTCAGGGTTAAACCTGTCACCAGATTCAATAGTAACAAGCTAATGGTCTGATAACACATTTCAGGACAGAATTTTACTTCAGGAAATTAGCTGGGAATATCCTTCCTCCTCTGGAGTCTGGGACGTGGCCCATGGTCCCACAGCTTCCTGGGAAGATCTGGAAACATCACCCTAGACATTGCTGCTTCACTCAAAATATGATGTCTTTTTATTTCATCTCTTCCTTACCTGTGGCCACATATTCGAGGTTTAAAATCATTATAACAACTGTGAGGTCTTTGACTCAAAGGTCTCAAAAGGTGTTTTACAAATTTGGGTTAGTCTATATTACAGGACTGTCTGCAGATGTAAGACACTGAATTTCATGACACAGTTGGTCCATTTATACTCCTCCTTTCCTAAATGATTAAGAGGTCACAGACGAACCTGGGAGGCACTTCATCTTTCCCAAACTAAAAGGAGCTTAATTTCTAGGTTTAGAGTACCTCAGACAAACAATGCATGTTATTTTATTTCCTGTGGTAAATGGACGGTTGATGTTTTTCTTCACCAGGTCTTTTCCAAGAAAAGACCTCAGAGAAGCACCCTGGATTATAAATGGTAGAGAAAAATGATAATCCTAATGCTGTCTCCTGATTCCAAATAATGATTGCAAGGCACATACATAACTTCTTGGCAAGGATCCATTTGTCAAAATAAAAGAAGCCAACTGCGTAAGGGAAAGAGACGATAGGTCTTGACAAACTTGTAGATGCTAGCAAAAATGTAAACAAGAAGTTGCTGTGACTGATGTATTAATGTAACACTGCCAGAATACTAGCTTCAAAAATTAACAACTGTTGATGCTTTTGTGACTAGTCGAAAGAGCAAGTGTCATGATTTCTGCTATGTTTGACATTTTCTACAGTTTCTACTCAATTTTAATCTCTGTGTAATACTCAATGCTTGGCTTTCTACAAGAAAGACAGAATAAGTAAGATTCCCACAAATGGGATAATACATTTGAAGACAGCTGACCTAAGAAAAGAGATAGCAGAGATGAAAATTTCTTGACATTTTTATGAACTCATCATTTTTGCCATTTAATATATAAAAAGAAAAACCTATTTCCACTGATTGATTACTTTAATGAATAAATGTACTCAATGATTTGGTGGGTTGAGTGGATTAAATTTCCCTTGCTGGCAGGAAATGGCCTTGAATGAAAGTGTTTTGAGGGTTTATTCATTTTTCCCGCACCAAAAAAAAAAAAAAAAAGGTAGAAAATCAGTCTGAATTTCAAACCACATTGATCTCTGTGTAAATTTTATAAACCATTATCTGAACCTCTGTGAGCTCCTGTGGGCTCAAATAATTCTAAACCAGATTTTTCACATTGTCACCAATGTGTTGAACAACACCCAGCAGCTTATAATCATAACCTTCTTCCTTTCCATTATACTTCCTTGCTGTAATAATTTCAAATTCTTATCATCACATAAGCCTTGCTCCTCACCTCCACAAAATGCTTTCCAAAACAGCAGCAAATAAAGAGTCAATTAAAAAAAAAAAAAGTCTGTCTTGCCATGTATGGTTTTGACAAGTTTTGGATGGAGAGAAGAAGCAAGACTGAAGATCACTGCAGGGATCAATGGGGAAAAGGAGAGTTCATTACAAAAATCTAAATTAAAAAAAAAACAACACCCTAACACCTCGGAAAAGGAGGAACTGTGTCATTTTGCAGAGATGCTGGATGACAGGACAATCTTCTATTTGCAACCCTGTTTTCTTCTGTTAGATCCATTATCAAACGCATGGGTTATGGTGCAACATAACCTGAAGTGCTTAAATTCATAAGCTTTGTGTGTAATTTCCTGCTGCAGTCCTGGGTCAAGCATCATGTGCCTTAGTAGCAAAGTATCATCTGACATCTCCATGCTAATACAGATTTTCCTTTGGGTGATGTATGTGCTAATGTCAAACAAACACACTTGCCAACAGCTACATTTCTTCTCACTAAGGAAGCCTCTCACAGAGTTTGTGTTGGCCTGTGTCTGTAACATATATCCCAAACACATTTTACCTTTAAGAGTTGCTTTAATGGAAAACAATGCATTAAAAGTTATAAAACGTACTGCTTTAATTCCAATTTTATATTTTGAATATGTTTGTTTACTTTGTAGATGTAGGTCTCCAGCAACTAAACATTGAAAGAGACTGGATAAAGAGAAGCAAAGAAGGAGTGTAACATTTACTTTCACTAGCAATACCAGCTTTAAGGGGCTTCGCTGCAGATAAACCTTGTGACTGCACATATATGAAGAAGAACTAAAAGTATGGTGAGTCATTAGCTCTATATTTTCATTTGTCTGGTTGTGACCTGATGTTTTCTCCTGTTATCTTCATGCAACTTGTTTCAAACCACATTTGCAGGAGGAAGGGTTTCTAAGCTTGCCTTTGAGGCTGGCTGCTGCTCAGTGAAGGGACTCTTTCCTCGTTCATGTCTGTATAAATACACCTGCCTATTCATGCTGTCAAGTCTCTGTGGCTTTTTTTCTCATTTTCCTGTTCTGCAACACTTCATAGTGAGTGGTCCCTTTTAGTGAGCAGTTCTTCAATGACTCAAAAAAAATAAAAAGAAAAATGTGCTTGTGTGTAATATTTGACCATCCCTGTACAAATGTACAAATACTCTAGCAAGTGTCAAATGGTTAGATTAGAAATGATTGAAGCCTGACTCCTCTTTTTTTTACTCCTAATGTACTACTGTATTCTCTAAACACTAAAAGATACAACACTGCAGGTTTATTCAAACTGAGATTTTTCCCATTGCCCTTCTCAAGAGTCCAAACTATTCCACTAACTGATTCAGTAAGGCAATTGAAATTAAAGCATTTGCTTCCCCATAACTCTCAGCTTATACAGAGACACAAGCAGCAGTAGTTTAGAGAAAAGTCTAGAAAAAAAACATGTTTTCCACCATTTGTTGCCTAGAGATATGCTGATGGGTTTAGATTAACTGGCAACAAAAACCATGTTGCTTCTACGGAAGTGCTCTAGCCCTGCAACAGATATGATAAACTCTCTAAGATCCTTAGTATGGACTTGTTTTATTTGTGCTAATAACTCCATTAGAATGATTCTGACTGTAGAGTAGCTGTGTCCTTAAAATCTGAAGAATACTTGATAATAAAATAAGAAGAGGTGCACCAGTTCGGAAATTCCCATACCACAGCAGGAATCCTAAATGCATCTGAATCCAACTCAACACTGAAGAAACTTTTTGTTTGAAAAAGAAAAAGCAATCAATGACCACTCATGGCCTTCTTACAACGATCACTAATGGAAAAAAACAACAATAAAAAAAACCTATCGGAAGGACTATTTTTAAAATGTGGTTTATTCTTAGAGCCGTGTGAGACTCACCTATGACATTAGCATAATCTGATAGTGAAGTGACATCTCCTTTCAAATCCATCCTTTCCTCAAGGACATCAGGAGAGGTGAAAGCTGACAGCATTTCTGTTACACTGACAGAGCTGTGGGTCAAGCGAGCACCACACCAGTTTACATGAGGGCTGAATTTGACCTTGTGTCACGACAGCTCCCAAAGGATCCTGCAGTAAGCACTGATGTATTCAAGGCTGTACATACTGGCATTGCAATGAGATCTTTAAGGGCAACGTTGAGGACATCTTTCATCCTGGGGCATCACAGAGCATTGGAAAGATGTTCTGCTACAAAAAATTTGTGACAAGCTGCCATCGTCTCCTGCGGGGCAAATACAGGAGTCTACAGTTGAAGATAAGCCATCAGAGCCTGCCTCAGGTGCTGACAGCGCTTCCTTAACACATCCACTTCTCTAACACAAGCCTTATTCTCAACAACAGCTGCTACTGATCGAGCTGTTACTGATCGGGCATCTTCTTGTCTGCTAAAAGGCAAAAGCAAATCTGTCAGAAACAACATGGCCAAACATCTTGTGGGCAGAGGGCTAGATCAGCTTCTAGTCTGCTGACTGAATACTCGTTTTGAGTACAGAGAGCCAAACGTGCTTTTGTATAGGCCTGAGGAAGACCAATTGATCTTTTGGAGGCAGGAGAGAGGGCTGCATGATGAATGGGCAAGGCTTGCTTCCAGCCACCTGACCCGCCTGCCACCTAGTGTATGTTCAGGACACACTTCCAGCTCAGAACAGCGTAGCTGGAGAACAAAGAACAGAATTAGTCCGTTCTAACATGGCATGTTACTGATAGCATATGCTGAAATAGCTTAGCCTTTTCATCCCAGGACTCTGTATTTGTAAATAGGGCAAACCCCCTAAAACCAGCTTCTTGCCAGCAGCGATTCACTTACAACAATCGTGTTCTCAAAAGCACAGCAGACTAAACCCAGCACTTAACAGTAAAAGAAGCAGCGGATTATATTTTCAATAACCAAATGTACCACATTTACACATGATAAAATAGGTATAGTGTTCTAGGTATACTACTTTTAAAATCAGTTACCTACTTCATCTATTTAGCTGTCAGGAGGAGAACTGCTTGTGCTGCATATGCACAACTGCTGAACAAACCAGTGGTCTTCTGTCACACCAAACCCTAGCATCCAAGTTGCTATGTCAGACAGACACCAGTTTATTCCCTTTTGTGCCAATCAGCCATTTTTTGTAAGTTTTAATTTCCACATACCCATCAATGCTGGTTGTTTTTCTTTAATGACATCTTCTAATATGGAAGGCGAATAAATAATAAAGGACAGCAAATTTGACTTCAGAAATGAGGATGGAACTGAGAGTAGAATATGTCTGTACAGATCTCTCAGTAAATTTTCTATGCAGGTCCATATTTTCTTGTCTCAGGAAATCAAATTTGTGGCGATCGGTGCCTAAGAGTTGACTCTTTCCTTATAGAACAATAAAGTTACCTGGGCTTTCTATCAAAAAAACACATGCAAAGGAGTATTAGTGATGCATTCTTTTTAGATGTGTAAGAATACATACACACTCCGTTGATTGGTCTCCAAATTCATAGAAAATAGTCAAAGTTATTCTGGAATTATCAAGCCCAGTCAGTCATCCATGTTCAACAGTTGTTTAATTCCAAATCTGAATCACAATGTTTTTCAGATCCAAATGCAGACCTCCTTATGAGAGACAAAGTTCAGGGAACTCCAGGCTATGAACAAGTGAGTCAGGTCTGGGAATGCTCTAAAAACAGCCATGGCAGTGCAGAGCTAATTGCCTCCTACGTGGGCTAATTAGCTTTGATGCAGCAGTGCAGTAAAGCAGCTATCCTGCCTGTGGATCTGGCCCTTAAATCACTGTAGTGCCCAGACAGCATTGTGACTTGCAGTAATATTCCAGGGAACAGAAGTGAAAAAGAACCAAGTCAATTTTATAATGGTCAGCGATGAATCCTGTTGTCACTTCACCTGCAGTGAATATACACATATGCGTTCTGTCACTAAATTAAGACATACATGTGCATGAGATCAGTCTTCTCAGAAGCATGAAAAGTCTCCCTTGCCCTACTTTTGCTGGTGCACTATCACAGCATTATTATCACGGCAACTTTCCCTTCCATGTTTCCTCCAATATGCACTTCAGCTGAAATCAGCTGCTGGGACAGTAACTGCCTGCAGAAAGGCTTTTAACGAGAAGCCCTTTTGTTAGTGTAACCTAGTGGAAATGAGACAAAAAGAAAAAATTGTCATGCCTCTTAATTTTAAAATATTGCTTTGGAGTTGTTTGCTGCCTGACACATACAAGAATGGCTAAATTTTAACATGGGCCTGGGGCTTGTGTTTCTGTTATAGAGCATGGGGTTGAGCAGAAGAAAAGGGAAGCTGAAGCAGAGGAGAGATGGTTGTTACAAGAATCATTCTTTTCATGTGTTTGATTTTCCAAGAGCACTTGGGAAAAAAAAATTCAATTTCATCTTTACTTCATTCAGCCACCGCAGGAACCAAGAACAAATCTGGATCTCTTAGTTTGGCCACACACATTCCCCTCATTTCAGTGAGAGGAATAACAGCAGCAAGGTCTCAGCCTCTTTTTTGGATTTTTTTTTCTTTTGCTCTTAAGCTAAATGATGAATAGCCTGATCACGCAGGCTGCAGATCAGGCAGTATAAACAGTATCACCTACAAACATTTAGCCACTTTGTTACACACATTTAAAAACTAGTCATGAAACCTTGCTGCAGCGCCCCTCTATTAAACCTTTGCTTGGGGAATTTTTATGAGGTTTGGATTAGGAAGGTCCTACTGGCCTTGTTAGTGGGAAATAATGTGGTATACTTACATTTTTATTTCAACAACTGTGTAAAAGTGTCCATTGGGCAAACCTGCCTCCTCCACTTCCCCAGGAGTACCTGTGAATAAATAAGTGTTAAGGCCACTGTAGTTCATTTTGCAAAGCAAGGACACAAAATGCAGAAAGTGAAGAAAGATCTCTTTGCTTCTGGTCTGGGGTAAGGGGATGAAGGTGTGAAAAAGGGGGTCTCCGTGTGCTGGGGCATTGGGCTGAGGCAGGAGTGGTACATGCAATTATAACCTGGGCCTCCCTGAGGAAGGGTACTGAGGGAATACAGCTGCTGTTGCTGAAGTTAAGAAGAGGGAAGGAAAACTGGATTAAAATTGTAACTGCAGTGGGTTCAAGGCACAGGGCAGAAAATGTTTTCCATTTGTATAAAATATAGATTTGTATGTAAATATTCAGCAATAACTTCTGTAGTAATGAATAAGAAATAAATTGCTTATTTGATGTATGATAAAACCATTATTCTGCACAGATGAGGCAGATGACAATTGATTTATATTGTCTTGCAAAAGCTTCAGACAATTAAGGAGAAAACTGTTCTGAGACTTATTCCATCGACAAAATTCTGGTACAGCTAACAGCAATATGATTCACACAAGGATCATCTGGCATGTAAAGCTCGTTTTAACAGATACCAACATGACATACATAAAGCTGTCAGACTTTCTCTAAAGGACAGTCATCCACTTCATGTTTCAAGTGCCAAATTAATTATATTTGACATTTAATTTATAACCTAAGGTATTTTAGATTTGGAACTTGACTATGATAACAGTAGATTAGAGCAGGCCTCCATTTGACAGAATCGATTTTTCAATTTATTTTCCTTGTATGTGAGGGCCATGATTCGGATTTTTGTGTATCGAGCTTGCAGGACAGTGATACCTCTAAGCAAAGAGGGCTTCATTCACCTCCTCCCCCAGCCATTCCTTGGTGAATTATTTTGCACTTGGTAGCAAGTTTCTTTTACAGCCTTAATCACAAAGCTCCACCTAATGGAACGAGGGGAGAACTGTGCACAGAAAAAGAAAGGGAGAGAGACACTGCTAAACTCTGCTATCAGGGGAAAACATAACAGTTAATCTCCTCCACCTAATTTATAATGTCTCCCTTTCCAAGGTCTTTCAAACACCGAGGTGGGATGAAAGTCATAAGGGGGGAAAAAAAACCCAAAGCAAAAAACCTCACAAGCAACCTCATCCTTTACCTTTTCATCTGACTGAAATTGTAACCTTTTTATTTTAACTGATAGAATTTTCACTCCATTAATACTAGTCTTTCACACTGGTAAGTTGCACCTTATAGATCCCAAAGCATTTAAAAATTACAAATATATAAAATAAGCTGTAAATGTTGGTATGTATTTACTGCTAGATGGTTTATAATCAAAAGTAAAATCACTCATTAATGGAGCAATCAACGAGCTTTTTAAAAAATTGGCAAAATATTTCTTTCAAATTCCCCACCGAAAATGAAGGCTTTCTGTACAGTTTTAGATCACTCATTGATATCACACAGCTGGAACACTACTGGAACATTAACATTTCAAAATATGAGGGAAAGGAGCTGAAGAATTTAAAAAATTTTGCAAAGATCAATGCCATTTTCAAGGTGGAGCAATTTTTTTAAGTGCTTTGCAGATGTTAATATAAAAGATCATACAAAGTCCTCCAGAAGCTTAAAAATTCACTCACAATCTCAGATTTGCTCTGCAGCCAGAGGAAGGCTCAGTGACCACTTTCAGACTTTTTCTGCAACAGAAGGTACAAATCTAAATGTCACCTTGTATCAAGATAAAGCGTTTCACTGGAGAAACAGGACATTTGTCAGGATCATCTTATTTGAGATGACTAATGCAGTGACAGCCCTGAGTCTGTATTGTAAAATTGTCAGTAGTAGGACAAGACTAGCTCATACTTTCTAGTAAAAAATGTTAGTTTGGTATTCAATAGTCTTCTGTAAAGAATTGCACTTTGATACTCTGCAGAAGTAGATCTGCCAATCTAAAATTGTTTTAATTCCTAATATTTATGATCAGATGTAGAAGTATGACACTGCAGCAGAATAACTTCCATTGGAAAGGTGATTAAATCATGTCTTCATCAACTTTCAAATACAACAATGTGCAGTTCATGGCCAGCTGAGATTTTGTGGGATTTATCTCTTAACTTCATTACTACCATTAACAATGGTGATTAGCATGATTTTCTTAACCCTACTTCTATCCCTCCTCTTCCTTTGATGCCCTTGGGTAGAGGCTTGGTTCTGTCTGTTCTTCCTTGATTTCACAAGATCCCTAGTGACAGAGCTCCCCCCAAAACTTTAGCTTCTCTGCTAAATTTAGCTACACTTGGACAATGAGCTCACGATTTACCAGGTGGAGGAAGGCAGGACTGGTGTATGGATGGATAAAAGCAGCGCTATCTCATTAGCCCTGATTCCTGAAAACCCCGGGAGAAGGGTCTGTGTGGGTAACCTGAGGGCATCGCCCAGGGGCACATCAGGGCAGCTCATTGCAGGACATCGAGCCAAAGGATCTGGAAAGCCAGGACACACCGAGAGCGGGGGCTCTCGGGAGCAAAGCTGGTTTCCAAAGAAGGGCAACGAAGCTGGTGAAGGGTCTGGAGTGCATGTCCTGAGAGGAGCAGCTGAGGGAGCTGGGGGTGTTTAGTATGCAGAAAAGGAGACTCAGGGGAGACCTTATTGCTCTCTACAGTCACCTGAAAGGAGGATGTAGCCAGGTGGGGGTCGGCCCCTTCTCCCCGGTCACAAATGAAAAGACAAGAGGACATAGTCTTCAGCTGCGCCAGGGGAGGTCCATATTAGACATTAGGAGGAATTTCTTCACACAAAAAGCGAATACACATTGGGACGAACTGACCAGGGAAGTGGTGGATTCGCTCTCCCTAGAGGTGTTTAAGGAAAGACTGGACGTGGCACTTTGTGCCACGGTCTAGTTGACAAGGTGGTGTTCGGTTGTAGGTTGGACTCCATGATCTCAGAGGTCTTTTCCAACCTAGCTGATTCTGTGATTCTCTGAGACCGCAAAGCCAGACAACCACCCCGCGCACCCCCGTCCCAGCCACCACCCACGGACCGTCAGGGGGTGGAGGTACAGTTGGCTCCGCCCCCTCGCTGAAGCCCCACCCCGGGGGCGTGGCTTGGCGAGCGCGGGCTTTCCCGACATGTGGGGCCCGTGAATGTGCGCGACTGCGCATGCGCCACCCGTGACCCCGCCGCTCTTCTTCCGCCCCCGAGGTGCTGCAAGGCGCAGCCTCCCTCGGCGCCTGATTGGCTGGCCTGGCCTTTCTAGCCAATGGCAGTGGCGCTTCTTGCGGCAGCGCGGCGGCTCCGCCCGCCAATGGTGCGGGCGGTTGTTGCCTCCTTCCTGCCCTCTCCCGCGTGTACCGCGCTTCAAGATGGCAGCGGCGGCGCCGGGTGCGGCGGAGCTGGAGCTGCTGGAGCGGCTACTGGGGCTGCCGGCCGGGAACAAGTACGGCGTCCAGGGGGAGCGGAAGGTGAAGGGAGCGAGGAGGGCCGGGAGCGGGCGGCGGCGATGCGCGCGGGATGGCGTCCCTGGCCTCCCTTCCCCGACGGCTGCTTCCCCCTGCGCTTCCCCTCTCGCCTCCCTTGCGATTCCCGCCCAGCACCCGTGCGACGATGACTGCGACCCCCCGGTTACCAGCCTGCGTGTTCTCTTTGAGCGGGATGTCGCCTGTGCTTCCTCCAGACTTCCTTCATCGTCCCCCATATGTTATGGATGTTGTAGGCCCTCGCTGTCTGTTTATCTGTGGGTTCTGAAAACCTCATCCCTCTGCCCGTGGAAAGGGCATCGTGTATCGTGGAAGGGATGTCTGTTTGAAATATATCTGTTCTTGCACCGCTCTCCTTTTCTCTGCCTTTCCCTGATGCCTGTGCGAGTTACGTCTGTGCAGGCGTGGTTAAATTACATGGAGGGAGGGGAAAGATGCTGCTTTAGTGTTGGGATCGTGTCTGTGGTGAGGAACTGTTGCTCTTAAATATTTCGTTCTTTTAAAATACTTCTGCCTGAAAGGAGGTTGTAGTGAGATGGGGGGTCGGTCTCTTCTGCCATGCCTGCAGTGAGAGGACCAGAGGAAATGGCCTTAAACTTAGACAGGACAGATTCAGATTAGGTATTAGAATAAAAATTTCACTGTTAGGGTGGTCAGGCATTGGAATAGGATGCCCAGGGAGGTGGTGGAGTCACCGCCCTTAGAGGTGTTTAAGAGGCATCTGGATCTAGTGCCAGGTGATGTGGTTTAGAGGTTACAGTGGCAGTGCTGGACTTGATGATCTTGAAGGTCTCTTCCAACCCTGATGATTTTTTGATTCTAGATGTCTTGATGTTTTTAAGTTTTGTATGGAAACATAAAGTTCCATGGTTTGAGAGGCACCTGAGGCATGAAAAATGTAATACTGAGGCTGAATGTCACAAATTTTGTGAGGCCTTTTACCTGATCCTCCCTCCTGGAGAAGGTGGATGGAGAAAAAGGCTGTGCAGTTGCCTTATAGTTTGGGTTTTTTTAATTGAGTATTTATAATTAAGAGTCCTGAATATATATATCCTTAAGTTGCAAAAGCTGTCTTAATTATTTAGCAACCTCATGAGTATTTTAGTGCTATTTACTGTAAAGCATAAGGCTGAAAAAATTGAGTAACTAGATCTGTCTGTAGTTTTTCTGGCTGCATGTTCAGTGGAAAAAAAAACCTTAGTAGTAAAGACATTAAATTGTTTTTGTAGTTTTATCAACTTGCACCTTAGTTTAAATAAATCTGAACATAGACTCCTCTGTGTGGCCAGATACTTTAAATGAAAAGAAATGTTGCATTTTAATCAATTTCTGTTGTTTGATGTCATAAATAACTGAATGGACTTCAGCCTGTTGCAGTGAGTTTCAATTCATTCTTTTATTTATTGACTTAGTGGTTCGGTTTTCTTTCCTACAGTTTGACATGTGCTGCTGTCACTAACAAAGACATGGTTAAATCTAGAGGTGTGTTGCGTTGTCCCCTCACAGTACTAGGGAGCTCCTGGCTTCTGTCAGGACATTTGGGATGAATAAGCATTTCAGGAGGTGTGGTCACTGCACTTTGCTTGCTCAGAGAGAAGTTGGATACTGCTTACTTTACAGTCTTAAGGAAGAGTCCTGAATTTGAGAATGAGTTAAAAGTCAGTTAATAAGATTTCTGCCAATGTTGGAGCAAACAATACTATTTCTGGCTAATATTGGCAGAATTTGATTAATTGGAGCTAAAGATGTCTTGCTTTGTTCACGTTCTTCTGTAAGAACTGAAAATAAACCCCAGAGAGTGAAAAGCAAACATACACTTGGTTTTGATGGTACTACCTTTACTATGAATGCTTCTAAATTCTGACTTATTGCCTTAAATATCCTTTTGAGGGGCTGTAAAAAACCACTAGCTATCCATATAGAGACGGCTTTTTTTAATGAGTTGTTAAGTCTTACGCTCTTGTTTCCGCTTCCAGGTTCCTGTTCTCCAAACCAACAATGGCCCCGGGCTGACAGGGTTGATGACCATTGCTGCCCACCTTGTCAGGCAGGCTAAGAAAGAGCAACTGCTCGGGAACACTGCAGAAGAGAAAGCTGTTGTTCAGCAGTGGTTGGAATACAGAGTGACTCGAGTAAATGGAGGCTCAAGTAAGGAAGATACTAGAATAACTCTGAAGGTAAGGAATACTTAATTACCTTGCCACTGAGTTTTGGAGTGACTAGACCTAGAAGAAGGTTACAGTGCTAATGTGTGTGTGAACGTGCAGTTAATAAAACTAAGCAAATGCTAAAAGCTTGACAGTATTGTTAAGTACTGGCTTTTATTCTGCTTGCTGCTTTTCACTTTTAGTAAGCTGAAACAGAAGGGAAAACAGTTAAAACTGTAAAACATATGAAGCAGAGCAGGCTGTTCAATGTAGTTTAGAGATTGTTCAGCTGCCTGTGTAAGACACCAGTTTCTTATTATCTTCATAAACCCTTGGTTATAAACGAGTTGGCCTTGTATTTCAAGGTAACACTTCTCTGATTGTTTTAAGAGCTGTTCTTATTGACTTGGCAGTTATGGAATACAGGCGATACTTGATGCTGTGGTAATTGGCATTGATGCCAAAAGGAGTTATTGGACAGAATTGTGTGTGAAAAGGAGCCTCTACAAAACTGCCCTTTACATCAAGGTACTTTGTATGGGGACCTTGGTCTGCTGTTACTAAACTTTTCCTGCGGTCTGACGCTTACTTCCTGTTAAACAGATGGAAGCAGAAAAGAAAATCTCAAGGGTCACCCTGTTATTTGAGCAGCTAGATGGCAAGGAGTAGATAGTAAAACTTACTCTATATATCTTCTTGCTCCTTGTGACTGGTAATTAGTGTTTTTGCAGTGTTGTGGGAACAACTTGAAGAGAAAACTTGCTTTACACTGTTAACTTCTAAGGGCACTGTTTACTATGCATGTATAAAACAGCAGTGAAATTCAGTCAGTTTTTAAAGTGGTTATTTTTTCTAACTTTGAAAGTATGTTTTAGATGGAAAGTTGAACTGCTCAGTCCTACTAGTCAGTATGGGTTTAGAAATAGCTTTGGTTGACTTTACTTTGACTCTGGTTTGCATCTTAAAATGATGCAAAGCAAAACTTTGTTGTCTTCTTCAAGCTGACAGCCCTCTTGTTCTTGAGGACTTGGAATATCATGTCTGCTTTACCAACCTGATGAAAGTCCTCAAGAACCATTTCTCTCACTTGCACCCCAAATAATATGAGTTATCTTGATTTCATAGCATCTGGGAAATATTTTCCATTAGTTAATTATGAGTTTGTTTACATTACTTCTCTTTTTGTAATAGCTCTGCACTTACTTTCTATGTGTAAATGTTATCAAAACCTTCACAGTCATGGTTACTCTACAGATATCATGTGAAAACTGTCTACCCTTTGGGATTTTCTGAACTTGATTGAAGGAGACATTGACTAACCTGGGTTTTAACTTTAGCTTTATGACAAGTGTCATATAGTTTCAGTCATTTTTTTAAACGAATTTGTGATGCTTTTTCTTCTTCTGAACTGTGAGAAGACCATATGAGAATAGATAACTTTTATTCACCTTTCTTGCCCTTCTATCATATAAAAACCAAAAGCAAGTTTTCTGTCTTCTTATAAAAAAGTACATCTGCTCTGATGGCTTCAGTGATGATATCTGCATTGTCAGCACATACATGTCAGTATTTGCAGAACTGCATTAGAGTATGAAAACCAGATGCAGAGATATGGCAGTTTTATGCTGAATCTGGTATCACTCTTCAGTTTTAGGCTTAGGAACACTGACCATGTAGAAAAGAAAATATACTGAAATACAAATATGTGGATAAATCAAGTGTTTCCAAGCAAAGCAAAATTTTCTTACTGAGAAACAATCAGTGTCACTTGAAGGAGAATCTCTGCCTTTAAATAGTTTAATAGGTATTACCATTTTAAAGTTTTCCTGTGTTTTTTTTTTTTTCTTAGCAAGTGTTGAATAACCAGAATTTATTTTAACACAGGGCTGCTGTGGAATTGTTCCAGCACTAATAATTTCATAGTATAGCAATTAAGGATTTTTTTTAATTTGTTCTCTTGCTACTAGGATTAATCAGAAGAAGAGGCAGCCTACCATTAAAGTATACTGTGCCAAAAGGGAGTACGGTTTAAAAAAAAAGAAAAACTAAAATAGGGAGGGAAGTCTGAGGCTGTAGTTTTACAACGTGTCTGGAATACACAATGGCAGTCTTGGGACAGTTGCAGCCTAGAGCCACAATTTATAATAAGCTGCACCAAAAACAGCTCAGTCACTTCTGCTATAAACTTTAGGCTGCCTCCATTTAACCCTTAACTGAGGTGATGTGATTCTACAAAGTGTCAGTAAATAACTGGTTTAATGTCTGTTAATTTGAACAGGAAGGATCTGTTTGCCCTAGGAAAATAGGTTCTTAAATTGTTCTTACTGATGTGTTGCCTAAAGCTATTACTTGGCATGAAACAATGGTGAAACAGACCATCTCAGCCAGGTTTTTTATATTTATTCAGAGCAAATGCCATACTGTTCACAACGGGCCAATAAATGGGCTTGTGAAGTTTTGTCTAATTTTGATCTGTGCTTCTCTACTGGACAGAATAAATGGGAGCAATACTTCTGGACTGTTCTATAGTAGATATGTAGGAACGATGAATGTCAATAGCAGTGATAGCACAATATCCAATGCATTATGTTAACTTCTTTACACAGGATAAGAGAGTATTTTCTTTGTTTCTTTGATGTTTGGTTAGTGGTAAATTAAGCTGCATATGGGGGGAAAAAAAGCTGAAAATTACTGAGCCTTCGTGCTTGATAACTAGTAGTTTTTCTACTCCTCAGGGAAGGAATTGAGAACCTTTGTGAAACACTTCTGCTATCAAATGGCTACTTAGACGTTAGTGAATTATGTTAGGAAGGTTTTAATGTCTCTGCTTTGTCAATTTTAGGTATGTAAAACTTGAGCATGTTCCTCCCACCCCCCCCTCCGTCTTCAGGCATATTCAGCATCTGCCAAATAACTGGGAGCTTGTACTTGAATTCACAAGAATGTAGATACCTCTGGTCCCTGAATAATAATTATAACCCAGAATTTTTGTGTACTACTTTGTGTCTTATGCAAAACAGTGTTCCATGACTTCAACTAGCTTTATCCCAATCTCCTGTGCTGTCCAGCTGTAAGCATGAAGTTCAGTTAGAAATCTGAATAAGAAAGCTTCAGTTCCTATCTAATGTGCTTGCTTGAAAAAATTACTCTTTCCACAGATAAAAAAGCAGGTTAATCCATGCTCTGCCCATGCCATTAATCCACAGTTCTTGTACACTCTTTTTTGGTAGAGTTCTAAATGGGATGCCCACCTGCTTTAGCAAGCTTATCCAGCAAGTATCTTTTAAACTTCAGCCTTCTGTGTTCACTTCTCTCCCTCTTCTTTTAGCACCAGGATATGTTTTTGTGCTTACAGGTTAAAGGATTGAATTTCAATTATTGGAGCAATATTTCTTGATTATTTTTCTTCTCTTTTTTACAAGAAACTTGGTATGTTGAATATAATAGTCTTCCAGACCAAGTGTAACTCACAGTTTGCCAGTTCAACAGAAGATTCTTGCATGAGAGTTAAAAATACAGCTATGCACCAACAGTGCAGTTCTGTTTTTCTTGGATGTGGCTGCAGAAACCCTTTCTTGGGTTCTGCATTGTCAGGGGCTTTCCTGGGGCATTTGAGAGTGCTCAGCTTTTTGTCTTTGCATGGTGTGATAGATAAAAAGGCACTTAGGGCATAAATGACCTTGACAATCTTGCTGACTGAAAGGATGTGCTTCTGTGTGTAAGGGAAATACATACACCAGCAGGATGTTGTGGACAAAATATCCAAAATAAAATCGGAGTATGAGTAGGTCCATTGTAAGCTACTGAGTCGTCACAAGAAGCAACTGTTGCTTATCCGGATTGCTGTTCCAGCTTGCGGTGACTGGAAGCGATTGAGTTGCCTTAGTGGATTAAATGGATTACAGGCAATTATATTGCATACTTAGAAGATAGTGAGGAATAATGTGGGGTCGTCAGAAGTGTGCCGTGGATGGGATGTGTTGAGCTGTTGCTAGATATGGACTGTAAACGGATTTTTTTTTTCCATAGAACAAGCAAATGAAAATCCATCAGTTAGTCTATAAATAATGCAGCGTTTGTTCTTACGTCGCTTTTTCGCCCTCATACCTAAAAATGGAATTTGAATTGCTGCAGTTGTTCAATGTATATTAGTGCATCATACTGCAGCTATGCCATACATACCTGTTTGAAATTTGAGAAAGAATTTTCTGAGGGATTGCAACAGTAAGTTTATATAGTTACAAGCAACTTCCATCTTTCATGTATTCAGTACATGAAAGACGGTGATACAGAAGACAGCTAACAGACCTGAATTTCCTGCATGTAATAGAAATTCAATACAGTTTCATATTCGTGTTTTCATTAATGTCTCCAGGACAGAAACGCTGTTTCACTTTAATACCATGGTCACTTCAGAAAACTTGACTTTCAGGAGTTTTAGCACAGTTGGCTATTAGCCAGTAATGTAATCATCCACGAGAAGGATAACCCATGAGGCAAGATTAACTAAATGTGCCTAATGCACATGGAAGAAAACTTACTGTGGTGCTTCTGCATTATCTTGACTTGCAGAATGAAATAGGAATATCTGTCTGTATTTTATGGGAGGAAAGTACATGTTCTAAACCAAAATTGTAAACTGATGCTAATTTATACAAGACTAAACCATTTTTGTCAAATTTAATTTACTCAGTTAACTGACTTCATAAAATTTGATTAACCAGAATAAATAATTGTTCACGCTGTAATGGCTTACTTTGCCTTTAAAGTTTTAGGATTTTTTTTTATTGATGACTGCTTTGAGTGTACACATACAGTATAAAACTCAGAATTAACATGCTGTAATTTTTTTGATGCAGAAATCCAAAATTTTGAGCATAAAAATAACTGTGGTAATTGTGTCTTTGGAGATAATGAGCTTTTTACTTTACAAAATCCCAATTCCATAGCCTAGGCTAAGAAGAACAGAGATGGGATGTTGGCATATAGTTCTAGTGGTGTTACTTTTCATTATAATGCATGCAGAATTTCTGGTTAGTTGAAATGAAAAATGCTGGTCAAAGATCTCTGTCAGAACAGACAAGTTTATGGGGTTTTTTTCTAGTAAACAGATCTCTAGGTTGTTGGGTTTTTTTCTTCCTACAAGTTTTTTCTTCTTAACATTGCATTTGCCTTTGCGTTGTGTGTAGGAAATTCCACAGAACTGTAGTTACATGTTTAAAGTAATTTGAGTGCTAAGTAACATGAACAAAGGAGTAAACCAGTCTAAAGAAAAGAAGCTAGGTAGCCAGGGGCAATTGACCTTACAGAATTTTAACTATGCAGGGGTTAATCAGGTATTTTTCCCTGATTTGTTCTAATAAAAGAAATCAAAGCAGACAGGAGGATGTTTAAATATTACAGAAGTACAGGAGTCCTGTCATGAAGAGGTTATCAAAGAAACAGTAAGATGGCATAATGTAGTCAAACTTGTCAAATGCAAATGCAAGGTCAGATGTCTTCAAAGTCTCATTATTTCAGTTTTGTGTTTCAGTCTTTTTTTTTTTTTCAGTATGTGTCCTGTAGGTTATCTCTATATTGGTAAAATTATGTAACCACAAAAAGTGCAATATGCTTAAGGCTAAATATAATTTTTTTAATTGTTCACTAATTATTAACCCCCTTCTCCTTGCCCTAGACGTTTTTTATTTCTTTTAATAAAAGGTTGTCTTAAAATGGAGCGTGCTGTAATTGAGACTGAAAAATTTAAATTTTTTAAAATGTTAGTTACATTTAAGCATAACTAACTGTTTTGGGGGGGGTGTTGGCTTAAGGAGATGTCTGAGGGGGAGAAGAGGAGCACACAACTAACAAGGAGAGTTTCCAAATCTAAGGAAAAGCTGGGAAACTTGGTTTTGTACACTTCTGAAAAGAATACTTTAAAACTAAAGCTTGCTTAAGCTGGCATCAGTGTCAAGTAGGTAATTTTCTTTGTGGTTACGTTTCTTTCTTTAGAGGGAAGTAGAGGGCAGAAGGATGCATAAATTGGATGAGAAGTAGGTAAGACGTAGAGAAAAGGAAGGAAATATTTCTTTGGAGTCAGATTAAAATAAATTACACCTGTATTTACAAAAATTTGACTAGATGTAAAGCACTTTTTTTAGACACCAGCATTTAAATTTTACCTAATCTCGCTGTCAAAGAACGGTGATATTTTAGTTTCTTATCTTGTCATTCACTTCTTAGATTTTTTTTCTTCTTTTATTGTTGTTCTCATTTGCTGAGTTGGGATAATTTAAAGCTGGTGTTTATTTTATATGCATGGTCTCCAAAGGAAGTTTCTATTATTTTTAACAATTGCCTTAATGTATTGTTTCACAAAGTCAATGCTACAGCAGTATAATGACTTTTTCTTTTGTAGGATCTTAACATGCACCTTGAAGATAAAGTCTACCTTGCAGGAAACATTTTTACCTTAGCAGACATTTTGATGTACTATGGATTGCATCATATCATGGTAAGCATTACTTGCCTTATTTTTATATGTACAACTGCCATGATCGTTATTTATCTAAAGGGCATTTTATTGTTGTAGAAGTTGACCTACTGAATTGATCAATGGCAGTTATGGAACAGAACAGAGAAAAATAAAACTCATTTTTAAGTTGTTTGTTTTATACTTTAATATTTAGCTATGGATCTGTCAGAAGAAGTGTATTACCTGTAATGTCCAGAATGCTTTAGTTTCCTCTGTATAATGTAGCAAGGATGATACCTGTCCCTGTGTTTCAAGGATTGATTGTTTGATGCTTACCTTTTCTAGTCTGAAATATGACTGCTTACGGAATTACATGAAGAAATAGATAAATGAAACTGAAAGGATATGTCAGAACTGAAAGCACTAACCTTTTAGTATTAGAGGAGTACAGATGCATGTAAATTAAGCTCCTGAAGGATGAATGCATATAAAAAAGTTTGAGCCATAACAAATTGTCATTTGTGTTTCAAGACTTGAATGATAATACTTGATGAAAGATACATAATATCAAATAGCATGGGGAGCTAGTGCTTAGGAGCAGAAAAAAACCCACATAACACACCCCCTGCCTCCCCGCAAAAATAAGTTTGTCCTGAGTGGGGAAGATGTTGAGATTCCTTGTAGTCAGCTCAGGTTACCATGAAGTGCTCGAAAGTCATTGCACCTTCAGTTCTGAACCCCAAGTGTTAAATTAAAGATAGAGCAGCAGAAATTATTTGCATTTCGTGCTGGAATGTGTTTGTAAATGAGCTATTGTCATTCTCTGGAGTGGGTGCAACTAAAGAAACCAAAGGACTTACAGGAGAAGGTCTACTAAATTCTTGGGAGAAGATGAAATCCATCAGTTTTGCATTAGAAAATCATGGGGCTGGGGGGGGAGTGAGGGGGGAGAGGACAATTAGAAGAAGATGCCTCTGACGGATGCGCATGTGTCTGAGAATCAGTGAATTCAATCAACTGGGTGAATGGTTACTTTTATACAATTAAAAGCAGAGCTCTTGGAGAAGAGTGGAAGAATGCTACATTTCAGAATGGAGGCAGAGGAGAGGAGGAATCAAGTTGTGAAATACTACCAGAAGTGAAGGAGAATTTATGTATCTGTGTCTTGACTGTCCGGGAGTAAAAGTTCAAATGAGAGAGGGTTGAGCAGAGGAGAGGAAAGGGAAGCTTCATTTCAGAAGGTTTTTGAAAACATGCTAGAGTAAGTCACTTAGAATTAATTCTGTTAATTCATATTTGCCTTGTTAAAATATCCTAAGTAGTAGGATAGATGTTTTGACTAAAGTGTCAGAATGGGTTACCTTTCACATATGATATGCAGATGTAGAAAAAATGCTTAAGTACCTTCTAAAAATATGACTGTATATGCTGTAAGAGAGTAGGAGTTCAAATGAGATTTTTTTTAAAAACTTAGGGGAAAATCCAAGCATTTTTAAATTTAGAGTTTGCTCTAGAGTAGACTACCTAATCAAGAAGAAAAGATACAAGTTATTGCTTTGGGAAATAGAACAGATGGTAAAAACAAATGACTTGGTGCTCCTGGGTGCCTGCAACCACCCAGACACTACTTGGGACAAGTTTATAGTATAGCATCTGTTTCTGAAATGTTTGATTTCGCAGAATATAATTTGGTGTAAAGGGCAAGTAACGAGGTTACTATCCTAAATAAATATGAAAATCTAGAAGCTACTAATTAGGAATTACATATATTTTGAAGCTTTCAGAATTGATTCATATTAGTACTTAACTATATAGGTAAGATCTTGAACTGTAGAATCCTGTGATTTTAATTTTTTTTAATTATTTTTATTTTCCCTGTAATGAGAAGAGAGTACATCCAGGACTGCTGTTCTGCCCTAAGCTTTATGAGGGAGACAGGAAGAGTTGCTGTATCTCTTCATGTGATGTGGTCCAGGGCAGCAGTTGATCATATCCACCACTGCTTCAGCCAAATTACGCAAAATATCAATAAATGTTTCCTGTAATCCTTTAAGCAAGGAGGTAAAAATGGGACACATGGGGAGACCCACAGATCTTGCTGTCCATCAAGTTGTCTAGAAAATTGATCTGAAAATGTTGCTGATAATGACCTTTAAGGCTAATGTCTGCACTTTTGATTAACTAACTGTGATGCTAACACAGACATTAGCAATAGAATACTGGAAATATTACCGACATATCATAATCACCCTAAATAAGCCAAGTAGTAAAACTTTAAAATCCTTCTGATGCACGTTTCATTGGAAAGGTTTTAAGACCAACCAATCCTTTTGCTCAGTTCTTCGCTTGTGGTATCATCTTCCTTTCTTAGTGTTCCTGAGTACAGATAATGTGTCTTTGTATTCATTCACTCCTTCCATCTTCATTTTGCGTTCCCATAATCCAGGGAGAGTTCTGGAGTCTGATTCTTTACTCTCCAGGCTCGTCCATTTGAGCTGACTAGCTGAGTTTGTCTACTGACCAGCAGCAACTTTTAATTCTGCAGTTGGGTGCTTTTCTTTCATTCTCCTTGTCCATTCTAGTTATCTTAATAAGTAATATTATTAAGTACAATAGTACAATGTGTTTAAAAATCCACGTTGTGGCACAATAATTAGTATTTTAATCAGTGAGATTCACAGGTAGTGTTTCAGGATTTTTGCAGACAGGATCTATTTTGAGTCTATTAATTAGAAATACACACTCATAATAATAAGGCAGGAACTAAATTGTATGCATTGTTGTTCTGCATCATAATATAGGTCACAAACACCCCAAAAATGTAATGCTTGATACTGCCTGTTCAGTCAATGTGATCTACTTTGTCATATGTAATTGATGTCTCTATGTATGTAATATAAATATTGTTGTCTTAAAGAGACTTCAATTGCTTAAATATATATGTGGATAAATATGACGAACAATGAAGTTCCACTAGGTTAAAGCACAGATTGCAGAGAAAACATGAATTTGGAAGCATTGCTTGAGGATAGCTCGGGCAATCAGTAAACATTAAATTCCCCCTATGATAATAAACTTGTTTTCATATCTGTTTTTTAATTTAAAATTATAAAAAAAAAATTTCCCAGTGTCTTTATTCTTAAGTATTTTTGAACAGCAGAAGTCCAGTTCTATTTTAAGAGAAATAATCAATATGAAGATTGATCTGCTTTTATACTTCAAAAAGTTGTCAGAACCAAAGAAGTGGTCTCAAATCTATATATCTGACTTCAAAATTTCTTTAATAAGGTCAGGAAAATAACTTATGGGTGAAATTTATGTGTGCAGATGGAAGAAGAAGCCTCAGTCAAAATTTTGGGGTCAAATCAAAAACAGTCGAGTACAAAAACAAACTAAGCTGTTCTCCTTGAGTCACAACTACTAATAGTGAACTATAATGAGACTGCAATAGTAGTTTATTTTGTAGGGGTTTTTCCATAATGAATATTTCCTGTAATAAAGAGATTACCACGAATTTTTGTTAATATTCACTCATATGCTGCTTATTTTAGTACTGAGATGAGGCTTTCCTTCTAAAGAATGATGCTAAAAATGGTTCTTCAACTGAATTACAAAAAAACCCCCAGTTTTAACTTAAAGGAAAGATTTACTTTTAAACCTATTCCTTTAACAGCAGTAAAGTAGTCAAAACAACGTGAAAGCACGTGTATGTCATGAAATACACCATCCATCTGTTGGGGATTTTCTTTTTCTCCCGTATTTAAAAGCTAAAGTTAAAAAGTGTAATAGTATCTTAGCCTTTCCTCATACTGAAGAGCTTCAGATGTAGCCATGTAGAGTGTGGGAATGAGAGTTTATGCCTGCATCCCCAATGCTGTGGAAAGCAAATATAATTAAAGCTTGTGTATTTATAGCCCTTGCAGCAATTCTTAGAGTTGCATTATATGATGACCACCTTGGTTCCCCTTTGTGAGCTTTGTGGTGGAAGAACAAGACTTTTTTCCTTTTTTTTGTGTCATGGAAAAAAAAAAAGCCTGTCAAATTGAGTGTCTGCTTCTTTGCTATTAAAATAATTGCTTTAATAGCAAATAATTATTATAACAGCAGAACAGCAGCCTTTCTTAACTTGGGGGAATTGTCTAATTTAATGAGGAAGAACAGAAAATACCCATCTAACAAAATGTTGTAAAAAATGCCATGGAAGTGATCTCTAAACAATTAACCTAAGAGTTATGTTCTGAGTAAAAAGTAGAGCATGCCACAAAGTGCTTTTTAATATATTTCACTGATAGAGTACATTATGTAAATAAGTAAAAATATCTTGCTTGTTGTGCCTAGAGTACAAAAAGAGGTTTTATTATTAGAGTAGCTGTCTGTTTTGCCCTTCAGATGTTTTTTCACTATGCTAACAGAATGAAAGAGGACTAGTTTTCCAGACATCGTTGATTTACATTGGAGAAATGTAAAGATTGAAAATTTTCAGTGTAAAATTATTCGGAGGAAATACTGTATCTGCTTCAAAACCTAAAGTTTCGTTCAGCATTTTCATAACCAAGTGCTTACCCATTAAAGACTTTGAAAAAGGGTATTGTAATCTCAAGGAACTTAAAGTGTCAGCATTTTAGTGTCTGCTTATACTTTAATACTTTTTCTTCACTTTGAGTAATTTTAGATGGCCTTAGAGTACACACATTGTTCTTTTCATTCTCTGTGTTACTTTGTTAATGGTTCTACAGCTTCATATCAAGCATCAGCTTCCTACTACCATTAATTATAATGCACTGCAGATGATCAAAAGCATCTTCCCTTAAATGGTACTGCCTTTTTATTTTGGTCCTGAATATACAGCACTTGCAGAAACTCAGGCAATTTGTGAAATACTCGGTGTTATATTTGAGTAGCTTCCACTTTTTGTTTGTAAAATTCTGGACAATTTTTTTCTCACTTATTAGGGTTATTCTCTTCCACTTACCTAATTCAAATAACTCTTATATTTCTAGATCAGAAAAAATGTGGCTGATTTTAATTGATTTTTCTGTGCATTTCTATCAGACTATACAGCTGTAGGAATAGTATTTACATTTCCATGCCAGCAGCAAGAAAAGCAGATTTTCTCATACTGCCTGAATTGAGGTTCATAACAGTTCAAAATTGCAGAATGTGTTGTGGAAATACATGTGTAGTGCCCCACTTGTAGGCAGGTAAGTTCTATAGGAAGAGCAGCTACTTGGGTTTAGGAGCAGCTGCAAGATCCCTGCTTTTTGGTTGTTGCCACAGTTACTGTGCTCTTAACTTCCTGTTAATAGAGCTTTAATGCTATGTGCCATTAGTTTAGAATTCCTTCCTGCAACTCCTTGAATTCTTCCTTGGTATATTTCCATTGGTTCATTTTCCAGTATATTTCCTTATTTTCTTTTTCCTGCTACACATTTAAATCTTCTAAGTCAAGTGTTGGGCTGTGTGAGAGAACAGCTAGGAAAAGTAGCAAATGTTAGAGAATCGAAAGGCTGGTGTGTCACAAGGTCAAATTTAACATGAGGCTTGGTTTTAAACAGCAGCTTTTCACTCGTACAGCTGACTGAATATGTATAGTTCTCACTGGGATCTAAAGTTTGTTGAAACAGATTTGTTTCTAGCTGTCCTGTGCCCAAGACCAAATTTGGAATGAACCTGCAGCATCCATAAAATCTAGAATTTATAGAACAAAGCATAAGGAATATGCCATCTGTTTAGCTTTTGAGGAGAGGATTAACCTTGGGTAGCTTTAGAAATCTAAATGTGGAAAAATATTAGGCATGTGTGGGTAGCGATTTTCTGTTAAAACTGTCCTCTACAGATGTGCCCTTTTTAATTGACTGCAGGCATTGTCAAGACTTAAGTTAAGCTTGGCTAACTGAAAATGAAGTGAGGTTAATCCCGCACTGATTGGTTTCAGTACTGGTGAGATAAAATAGGGTAGTTAATGTGAAGATCACATTTTGTTCTTGATGTAGGTTTTGTAGGCTGTTTTGAGGACTACCCCATTTGTAATTCAGTTGTAGTAGGTTAATGTGAGGATTGTTAATGATAATTATCTAAACTGATAAACTAACTTGATTACAAAGCCATAAGGAGAGATAGAATTGCTAATCAAGGAATAGTAGTACAGGTGATACAGGATGGGAATAGATCTTCTGCAGCTGGCTTGAAAGACTGAAGGAATTACAGACTTTTTAGTGAAGCTTTGAGGATGCTGCTGACCTGAACTTATTTTAAAGGTAGAGTTTGGATCTGTAACTGTAGATGACTTTATCTGAGCCAGCCCTCTGATTAAAGGTAGGCTTGAAGTTCTGCATGTATATTAGCCAATTCCTGTGGCAAGGTGTTGTTGCAATGATTGTGTGTGATAGTTGGAAACTTCTTCCTGACTAATTTTGCAGCTATTTAGATCTGGGTTGAAATAAGCAGGTAACTGTGCTCTTAACTTGAGAACTCTTGTGAACAACAAGATCTCAAACTGTAGGACTAGGTGATAGTACTTCAAATATTTTTATGAAGCATGGACAGGTTTCCAGTTTGTTTTACTGTGGTAATTTGAATCATGCCACTGCTATCTTAATAATGTGAGCTAGTACATCTGAACAGTTAAGTGTTAAACTATGCTGATTCTTAGTAACTATGCCATATTAGGCAATAGTCATATAAAACAACTTCCAATTACCTATCCAGTCTCAAATTACTTGAAAAAAAACTTACTCCTGTACTTACAATACACCTGGAAACACAAAGTAGTCAATTTGTCTGTGAGACGATACTGTCTGTCTTTTAAATTAAAGTGAAAGGGTTGTGCATATTGTGGAACTCTTTCCCTGCATGCCTCAATACTGTATGCCGATCCGAGGAATAGAAAGATGCATTAAATTCAAGCAAGCTTTTTTCCCCTCTTTATCATACAAATGTATATTCCACCTGCAGGTCTGTTCATTTGAGTAAATTACAAGTTCTTACATGTTTGGGGCTTAAATATTAATATGTGAAACTAATATGGAATACTGCTGGACTGCAACAGCTTACTTGAGTTTAAATCATTTGTAAAACTATCTACTTTCATTTTGCTTTACACTAGCGATGCAGTGCCTGATATTACTTGGTGCCTTGTATTTATTCCCCATGCAGGTGGACCTCACAGTGCAAGAAAAGGAGAAATACCTTAACGTGTCTCGTTGGTTCAACCACATTCAGCATTACCCAGGTGTCCGGCAGCATCTGTCTAATGTCGTCTTCATCAAGAACAGATTATACACAAATGCTCATTAAGGAGAATCCTAATGTTGTGTTGGAAGGAGGTTTGGGAGTTTAGAAGTTATACTGTCCAAAGCCACTAGTAGCAAATATTGTTTTGTAACCTTCTGTATGTGAACCAAAACTGTTAATGCCTCAGATAATACAGTTGCATTGAATTGCTGTTGTTCATTCAAGAATTTGAACTGAAGAATTGTATCATGTATCTGATTAAATGGAGCAATGGTAGAAAGATGGAAATTAAATTTTTTTTTAAAATAGTGAATTAAAACTCAAAGTTCCTTTAATTAAACACTTAAGTGTAATGACATGATCTTTATGGGAAATAATTGGTTATTTTCCTTCAATTACCCACTCCTTTTGCTATTTATTGAATTTTTATGTATGTCGTCCCACTTTCTTTTCATTTTGTTTTCCATGAATGTTTACACTAGTTTTGTAAAAGTTAAGAGCTATATTGTGTGCCAAGGATGTGAAAAAGGGAACATGCAAATGTTACAAAGTATTTATGTGACTGAATAAATTATTTTAAAACTGTAGTTTTAATTTGGCTGTGAAACTTTCTAGTTTTTATTCAGTTAGGAATATGAAGATTTTAAAAAGTTAGTTCACTTCCTACTTCATTTTGTGGTATACAGTTTTGATTCTAGAAGCATTTTCTTTCAAAGTGAGTAGAAAAGTTAGTGTTCTTAAAAGATTTTCTATGTGCTTCACTTCATTTTTTACACAAGCGTGAATGCAAGTTTCAAGATTGTAAAAAAACAGCCAAAAAAACCCACCCAAACCCCACCTCAACAAAACCAACCAAAAAACCTCAGCTTAAGATAAGATAATGAGCTGGTCTGTCAAGTTCACTTGCAGTGTTTAAAGTTGGTTTTAAAAACAGCAACACTCTTGTTGAGTCACACATTTGGACAGGTCATTTAACTGTAGAATGTGGTCCCTCTGTTTTTAACAAATTTAAGAGTGCTAACTTTAATTGGTTAAATATCTTCTGCACAATTCAGTTAATATTTCTTTTAAAACGTGAAAGAAAAAAATGATATTTTAATTGATAAATTGACTTCTGTGTTGGTTTCTACAACAGGGTTTAGCAGACAACTTCACTTGTACATTCTTTAGTCTTAACTTGTGTGCTACTTTAGGAACTTCCCACCAGGTAAATATAAATACGAAGCTATCTTGGATAGATGTTTGAGCATTTTGAATGTTACAAGTCCTTTAAAAAAAAAAGGTGGGTAGATAATTAAAGTACATCCTGACACACAAATGAACACAAGAAAATTGTAAGGGTAAGCATAACCAGGACAATTCTGGGCTCTAATAAGTGTTTTCTGTATATGTGTAATTTTTATAGAGGGTTTAAAGGTACGCCAAGTTACTTTTACAGTGAAAATACTTAATTACAGAAATTTCTCATCATTTTCCAGGGGGCTTAAATCTCTGCTTCTGCCATGTCTCACGTTAGGTAGTCTTGTTCCTTGCTATTTAGAAGCTCACCTTCCGTACTTACACAGATCTCACTGAAATCTTGAGATCTGTTCGAGAATCGTGGAGTGGGCTTTAGTACAAACATACGTTAGAGACTTCACGATCCAAATTTTTCGCATTTGACTACCTGAAAGCTTCAGGTGTTAGCTGTCAGTGCTTGCACTCTTAATTCCCAATTTATTCAAATATTTGCTACCTAGTATTATGTATACAAGTGAGTTTGCTTTTCCCCGCAATTATGTGTGGGACCGAGTGATGGCAAGACTTAAAAAAATAGCTACACTTCTACTCCACTCTACTATAATGTTTTCTGCTGTTTTCTGTTGCAGAAGGGGAGCATGGGTGTGAATTATCAGTGCATTTGTTCAGGGTTTAGGGAAGTTTCACATTCATCTTACAGATTTCTTGTTTTTATCTATGCTATTCCAAGTAAGAATTATTTGTGTTTTGTAAAGTGTATGTGCAAGTCGTCCTCTGTGAGAACAGCAGCTTGTGTTACAGCTGAGACAACTGAAATGCAACCAGAGCTAAATACTGCTGAAAACAATACTGTCATCTTTTCAGGCAAGTTTTGTATAGATGTTGCTACAAAGTGTCTTTTTTTTTTTAATCCCAAATAGCTGCTGTTTCCAAGTATTGGGATTTCTCAAGTTGCCTACATGCTGCTGCTGCAGTATCCCCTAGCCTCTTGTGCCAGTTTTATTTTCTCTGGTGTAGAACAGAAGTGTTACTTGCTTCTGAAATACTATTAAAAAAATTTCACCTAGCAGAAAGATGAAATGTTTAGAATTGGATTAGTAATATTTAACTCTTCACAATCTAAAAGGCATTTGGTCATTATCATATGGTGACTTGAGCATATTTCAATTTTCTCTCTCCTGCACAGAGAAACTTAAAGGGATAGAGGGTTAAAAGCAAAGAAGAGTGGAGACTTTGCCTTTAGAGAGATAACTGGGAAAACCAGATGGTATTGATTTTTCTGCCGTCTCCCCCTTTCTGTCTAATGCCTTTTGATCAAGGACAACGCAATCTGTAAAAGAAGTTCTGAGAAATCACACAAATATAGCTGAGTCTAGCTGAGAGTGTATGGGGTACATTTTTTACAATTATACTTTGTAATTTATACAGATGAAGTGTACTGTAGCGTGAGCTTTCAAATTACCACTGATGGTATAAAGGGCGTGCATGGGCAAATCTTCGGCTGTTTTTAATGGTACTTCCACCTGTCTTTCTGTAATATTTTATTATACTTTCACGGAACATTAGCAAAAGAGACTTTCTTCCCTCACAACCCCTTTCTCCTTTCTTAAAACTTCAGTTGCTGAAGGGCACTGTGATGTTTCACTTTTGTTGCTTAGCAGTTTGATCATGATGATGACCACAGTGATGTGTGGAATTTATTTTCACAGCATTTTGTGATCAGCAACGCTTTCATTTGTTAATGTATCTCATCATTGCAGTATTATTATTTTGCATAATTGTTCTAATTTATTCAAGGGGCCTGACGTGTTATGGTCTTTTAAGTATGTGCCTCTGGGACTTGAGGTTGTTGCCATATGGTGAGATAGTGCTGCATGACAACCTTTCAGCAACTGAAGAATTCAACAGTGAAATAAATATGATAATTTTAAGTGTTCAGTGAAATCTTACACTTAACCACTTTGACTTGTCTTTTTCCTCTTAATGCCAAGATGACTGCTTGCAGACAGGCCAGGTTGAAACAGGTGTTTGACTTTTGCATCAGATATGTTAGGACTTTGCTGATGATTTTTAGTTGTCTTTGTATGTGTAATAACTTCATTTTTAAGTGAGAGTTCATGTTGACTTCTGAAGTCTATAGGGGTATTTATTGCTCTGAGGCTTATAACTGAGCAACAGTGACTTACAAGAAAATTCAGGTTTCATATGGGATTAGAAAAGAGTGAGTAGAAATAAGAAATTTGGAAAGATTACTCTGAACAAAAAAACCCAATAGTTCCAGTTTAGACATGGGTACTAAGAAATTCTGACCATTCAAATGGACCAAAGTATAGGCTTTTCATCAGCAAAACTGTACAGAAATTATTTATGATAACTTAACTGTACAACATGTTTTCTTTCAAGTTCCTGTTGATTTACCTACCAGGTTGGCATTATATTTTTTATACAGAGAAAACATGTTAGGAGATACTACTTCTAGTTTAAAATTAAAACAGTCCAATCAAACAGTCCAATCAATCACAGTAAGTACTTGCTTTCGGGAGGTTTGCAACTATTAAATTGCTAGAGATTCTATGTGTAACTTTTGCCAGTGAAGTCTACTAGCTAACATCTTAGTTGTTTGCCTGTAAGGGGTGATATTTTCACATATTTCTAATATTTTTTATTTTGTAATCCTTTTCTAAACCCACTCCACCCTCTTCAACATATTTTTAAATTGAGTAGCCTTTCTCCCAGGAATTTCGTACTATTGTCTGAATCTTTGGAAGCACATAGGCCTAGAAATAGGGAGCCTCTTTTTGTGAGGTACATCTTAAACTTCCTAATAGGTGTTACAGCTCATCAGAGTATTTTTATTAAATAATTCTTCAGCATTAGTTTCTTTCTCTCTTACACACACTTACATTAATTTCACTTATAGCTGATGGAAGACTAATCTAGACTCTTCAGTGTGGGTGTGGATCCTGAGTTATTACAGGGAACTGAGGCTCTGAGTAAGGTGTAATATAGATGTACTTTGCAATTCAAATAAGACACTCCCTTATATTAACTATTTCATATGAAAATGTGACTCAGAAGTGCTTTTGTCCATTAAATGCACCCAAGTAACATTATAGATGAAGAGGCAGTAGAACTTGGGTATCTTTTTTCTCAGTTAAAAGACAACAGACGATCAAAAATCTGCTTGTCAGTACTGTTGATTTGGAACAAAGTATGTAAAAAGATACTAGCTGAGAAAGATGGAAATAAAGGAATAGGACTGTAAAATCATCAAGAAATTCAATGTAAGCTCTTCTATTCAAAAGTCTGGTTCATATTCTTTCTGATCTGTTTGCATCTGTGCAGGTGATTTGTGGGTTGTCTGCTACATGAATGCTGAAATTGGGAGTAGATTTTTCTCCAAGTAAATTTGCTTGAAATAGCCATGAATTGATTTTCTTATTGTATGTGTATGCAGAACCTAGTATGTAATTTTTTCTAACTTTTTTTGATTTTTTTTGCTAGGAAGAGGGATCAGTAGGCCTATTTGTTGGGGTTTTTTTCCCTTTTGGTTTTTAATTTTATCACTTCTTTTAATCTTTGGTGTGTTTCACAGTCTTTAACTTCAAAGTGTAATTGCAATGATGCAGCTGCTTAATGGATTGCTACATTTAATATTTTCCCCCTAGGAGCAGTATTTCTTCTTTGCATCTATAATTGGATCATGCTGCTGCTGTCCCTGATGGAAACACCAGGTTTCATATTCACCATACACCTGAGCACATGCTTACTCACTTGGTAATCCTACTTTTTTTTTTGATTTATCAAAATTGAATTGTATTATGTGGGGGGGGATTTTTGTGCTTGAATTTTATTGCAAAAGAAATGTGAGAGGAAATGCCATCATGCACCTCTTGCTGCTCCAAGCTTTCAGATCGAGACTGGGTCTTTGTACCCTACTGCTGCATGTCTTGAATGTTAAATTTATAGTACTTCAGAGCCCAGCTCCAGGGCGATTATATAAAGATACCACAGATTTGGGAGGGGGATTGATTTTGCAGCAAGCATTAGTTGTTGCTACTCTGTGCACATTCCTGCAGGCGTGGCCTTTATTTTCCATGCTGGTAGTGACTACAGCCACCGCAGCTGCCACGGAACACCACGCATCCCATCTCCCACTCTACAGGCAGGCAGGAGGTGAGTAATTTTTCATTGTTGCTGCATCTGAAGGATTCCCCTTTCCCCTCCCACACTACCTTGGCCCCTTTAGGAAAATTTTCATCTATTAAACTTTCCCTCCTCTGTTGGAGGAACTAAATCTCTTTCAGCATTTTCAGGCTGGTGATCTAATTTGACAGCTCGTAGGTGA